CTGTTTATGATCAGACCTGCTTCATCTCTGTGCCTTGGGTATCTGACTCGCTTGCTCCCCCTTGTATTTTAAAGAATCTTTCTGTTTAGCAGGACATTCTGGTGTGACTGCTTTAGCCCCCCTATGTGTTACATTAGCATTTCAGACAAAGCAATAAGAAATCCATACATCTATTCTCTTCCACTCGTGCTTATCGGGGTCGCAGGATGGCCGGAGTCTATCCCAGCTATCATAGGGCAAGACACCCTGGACAGGTCGCCAGGGTTACAGGACTAACACAAAGAGACACAATCATTTTCACTCGCATTCACTCCTATGGGCAATTTAGTCACCAATTAACCTAACCCCACTAAGCAAATGCTTCAGCCAATACCTTTTGATTAGCCTTGTCTCATGCTTTCTTTCTTTATGGTAGATTTTTGTTCTGTTTTCACTGTTTGTTTGTTTGTTTTTTCACTGTTTTCACTGAGATTTGAATTTGAATGCTAATCAATCAAATCAAATCAAATCAACTGCATGTCTTCAGATTGGGGAGCTGCAGTACCTGAAGAGAACCCGTGCACACATGGGGAGAACATGCAAACTCCACTCAGAACGACCCCGGGTGGTGGAGTTGAACAGTTTGACCAGTCAGCGTTTCCTGTATCCTTCAAGTAGTATGGAGTCCACTTTGTAAGAAGCAATAAAGTCAGAAAAAAAGTAGATTAGAAGGATCACACAGGAAAGGCTCGGTGAGATAGTGAGTAAATCTCTGGGGTTCTCTGGCTTGCTTGTGACCTTCTTTTATTTAAATAAAAAGTTGTACTTAAATAGTGTAGAATCCACAGTATTTCATAAGGTAAAGGCTTTTGTATCTAAGTATTCATGGATTAAACCCAACATGCTGAATGGTTCGATGAAAGCCGTCATGTTTAAGGAGCTCTGGTTAATTGTGGATGAGGAAGTTGTTTACATAAAGGATGCTTCTGACATGCCCGTGTTAAAGACCGTCCACCAGCACGCTTCAAGTATTAACACAGTTTTGATGTTTTTCATGCTGAAAAAGGTAGAAGCGCTGACATTTGCTTTGTTGCTGTGAAACAAAATCCAAAGAGAAGAAAAAGTTTGATGACTCACCACTTGAAAAGACAGAGTGAAAAAATTAACATCTCTCTTCTGCACTATTAGATAATTAAATTGCCCTATAGTGCTTCTTTGGAGCTTAATAGTTTAAAAAGTAAACAGCTCAGTGGTAGGCTTTGCATGCATATCTCCTTAACCAAATTAGTATGGAAATGCTAAAACATGGTTAATGAAGCCACCTTAGAAACCCCCTCGAATACATCTTCAATTTAATGGATTTAGCAGAGTGATACATGTATGCACAAATATACATGTATCAATTATAGAATGTCTTATAGAAAATGCCATAATTACTGCAGTCAGGGTGTTTTCTATTAGCTGCTAATCCAAATTGAACAGAATTTGGTTGAAGTGGAGAGGATTCAGTGCCAACACATTGGGGGAAGAAGACGGATCAGTCATCCATTATTGTTATAGGTGCATTAGAGTTGTAACTTGTGGCATTCGAACAAGTTAAACAAAATTTGACTGGAGTTCAATAACATTAATTACCAGAAAGCACAATGTCTAATCAGTAAGAGCAGCCAATCTGCTGCACTTACTAAAATAGTTTTCAAAGAAAAAGCTCAGTCAGTCAAAGAAATCTTGTAGCACATGCTTTTACAACACTAAATGTGTCTCTGCATCATATAATCCTTCAGTGAGACTTTTTCTTGGTATTTTTGGTCACAGTTATACATCTTCAAGGGACTTTTTGTTGAAGGGGGAAAAAAAGCCCCATATTCTGGCAGAAGACCTGAGGCTGTTTGCACTGCTTTGTAAACGTCTGTAATATATTTCTTGATTTACAGAATACAGCGTTCAAAGAAACTGCATTCAGCCACATGATAAAGCATATTTTTAGCTCTGTAATATTTGAGCAGTGTCATGCAGGTCATTCATAAGGAAATGCTAATGTCCCCATCACATGCAGGAGTGGATCTGATAAGGAACAATCGGATAAAAACAACATGCAAAAAAGCAAAATAAAATAAATAGAAATGTAAATACAAGTGAACAAAGTTAAATAATCATGTACAGAAAAAAATGTGACCTTCCTGGAATAGACCTCGAATCGATATGTTTGCTTCTTTGTACTCATATTTACCTGCATGCATGCTGGGACATGTGCAAGGAGGGGCAAAATAACCCAAAAAACAAATACAATCAATCATTATTTAAATTGGCAGAATTTTAGATTTAGTCACCAATGCAAGCCGACAAAGGTGATGTCTGTTCTACAAAACCATATACTTTAATTGGGATGTCGAATGACTCAACGGGCTGCTGTTTATTTTTTATGCAGTACACCACCATCAAAGGGACAAAAAAGAACAGAGATTTTATTTATTGCACTGTTATTTCTCCACATTGGTATTGCCAAGGACAGTCTGTTTCCTCTTCCTGATTACTGTGTACAAAAAACTAAACCACGGGATGAGGTTTCGCATTTTGGTGTATTTTCCCAGTAAAAAGCCGCTTCATTGACGTTTCAATTATCCTGTATTCTGTGATATTTTTGTGGCTTTTTGTATCTGATCTACATCAGTTCATGGTGAACTTGTTTTCAAACACAAAAATAAAATAACTAATTAATAAGTGCTGCACTTTAATGCAGCCAGGCTCTCAGGTAATCTGTATTGCTCTTGAGTAGCTACTCTTGCTATTCCCTGCTGTAATCCCTGCTGCACGTATTGGCTTGATTTACTGTTCTGTTTTGCATTTGCCTGAGGCCAGGTTTGAAAGGAAATGAGTTGACAGTTCTGTCTAATATCAATCTATTCTTTGTCTTTTTTGGGGGAAATAACTTCTTTAAATGTGCATGTTTCACCTGTTCTTTCACTTATTTTAATTTATATACACCTTGAACTTACATAAAGAATGTGTTTGTTGATAATGATATTGATTTTTCTCTACAGTAATTTTTAATATTTATTTGAGAACAGTGTACAAATAATGGCCATAAAACAAAATAATTGACTACAAACTAAACAAGACTTCTGCCTGTCTCTGAAACCTTTTGCACATTCAGAACACGACTCTAGAGAATCCTGTACACTTAAACTATGTTATCAAGCCTGACTGAAAACCAGCACATCGGCAACATTTCCTTATGATTGCAAGCAAAAAGCCGCTTTAGGCATGGATAAAAAGGCTGTATGAATGTGTTTGTGATTGGGTGAATGAGATGTGTGTGTGTGTGTGTGTGTGTGTGTGTGTGTGTGTGTGTGTGTGTGTGTGTGTGTGTGTGTGTGTGTGTGTGTGTGT